GAAGAAGCCGTCAGGTATGCCTTCAGATGGACCAGTGCACCACCACGCTTTCCCCGTCGTCGAAAGCGCTTTCGGCGAGGCAGGATGCAGTGTGACCGGCGTAGGTAAGTGGGGATATCCGACAGTAGAGGGGGGGGGGGCGATTTATGGTTGCCAGATGTAGGTTTGGGCAGCAATATCAACTCCAGTGAGGGTCTGAGGTGGAGGAGAGCTTGGCGATCATAAACGAGCAGAGCAGAGACATTCTGACAAACATAAAACAAAAACAGGACAGCTAAAGGTAGAGAGCTTAGCGAGCGGCGAGCCGACACAGGCGCCATCTTGAATCACGTCACTTGAATCACACTGTTTTAGAGAAACAGTCTTTACGAAAAAATCTAATCAGACAATGTACTTCATTTTCTAGTTTTAAGGTTTTGCATACCTCAAAGTGTGTCTAAAAGTATCTTGGCAAGAGAAAAAAGCAATAATCTGCCTTGTGTCAGTGAATAAGTGTTAAAATCACAAATGTATAGATAAGCTAGAGGCTATTTTAGATTTGTCAATTAGAGTTAAAGGGTTAAATAACATTTTCAAACTGCTGTTCATAGTTACTGGATACATAACGAACCTCATCATTATCTCGATTTTCTACTTCCATTTTTATTTAACAGTGAAACGTCTTATTTTAGTACAGTCTAGTCAGAGGAGTTAATACTATTACTATATATGAAAGCAAAAATAAAACACATTTTCATTTGTTATGGTTGTTTAATTGAAAAACACACCATTCGCCACATCTTCAGAAAGACATATTACATTTGACCAAGTTAATGTCGTAGTGCATACAAGGTAATAGACTTAACGATTTGCACTGCTGCTTCTCTCCGCATTTCATTTACAGTGATCGGTTTATCGTTCAATTCACATTGCCCAAGTAGATGTTTAGGGGTCTCTTGGAAGTAAATGAATGCATTTTTTATATCAGATAAGTGCATTAACATCACTTGCAAATTCTCTATCCTTTCACCCGCAACGATTATAATCTGCTTTGCTTCTTCTTCGGTTTCACCATTATTAGCTCTGAATGTAATCCTTTCTGGGGCTTCTTGTGCTTCTTGTGGTCTGTTGAATACCTGGCATAGGATTTGTTTAGCTGTAAGGACGGGTACCATATAATTGTCTTCAAAAGCTTTGTCTATGTCGTCACACGTTTTGGCATATCCTTCACTGTAATGACAACCGATACTAGAATAGAGATCCTCCAACAGTCTTTTAATACATGTTCTGGCACTGTCGCCAATTTGGGCAATTCCATAGTATCGTGCTTTTTCTCTCATTATATTGAAGCAAAGCTCTGCCATTGCTTTTGGTATTTGTTCAACACATTCGCAGCAGTCGGTTAGCGGTAGATGATATATATATAAGATTATTATGATCCGGTAATGGCTCTACAACACTATCAGCATCCTCTATAGTTAGTTGAAATTTCTTCACTTTGTTCCTTTTTCTTTTCACCTTCCTTCTTTTTGTCTTTTTCCGTCCTATTGTCCCTTTTCTTTTCATTCGCATTCTGCGTTTGCTTTTCATTTTTCTTCTCCTTTTCATTTTTCTTTTTCTTTTTCTTCGGTTTTCTTTACTTTTGCTTTTCTTTTCTGCTAATTGTCGTTTGCGATCTTGGCGAGTTGTATGAGCTATATTGTTTCTATAAAGGTTATCTATAATACCATCTTTTAAAGAAAGATATTCTTCATATGTCATTTTATCATAGTCCTCTTTTGTCCTAAAGACCTTACATGGATATGATATAGAGGAAAGCTCTTCTTCGGGAACATCCTCTCCCTTACTTTGTAACATCCAGTCATTAAGCCCATATCCGTTATCCTGGTGATAATAAGGGTAGGCTACAGCAGACTTGGTTTTTCTCAGATCCATGGCTAGTTTTCAACGGTCGTCTTAGCGGGGTCCTTAGTTTTGGATGATTTGCTGAGTGGGGTGGGACTTATTGCGTTGGGTGGGGGGAGTCATCTGTAGAAATGAGAGTTTCTTTCACCCGTATAATGTCCCTCGCTGTTTGACTCTTTTTAAAAAGTTATTTTTCATCTATCATTTTCAACCAAGCAGCAAGAGGTCAAATTTAAGAATAAGTAATAGTTTGTCATGATTTTACGGGGAAAAAGTCATAGCGCAATGTCACATCTTAAAGACAGCTTGAACTGGATAGATGGTTAGTCTTTTTTCAAACATACCATATGTTCTGCATGTTAGTATATTTGGCCAATCGGGTTAGGCCCTACTGCCCCACTCCCTCAATAGGGAAGTCACGCTTTGGGAAGAGGTGTTTAATTTCACAGATCTGACTTAATTGTTGTTGTGATGGCTGCAGGAAGAGGGACGGGGGAGGAAAATTCAGAGGGTGAAGAAGCAGAAAGATAACTTGTTTGTAAAACGGACAGCACGTCAGTTTCAGGAAAGATGACACCGGTTTTATGCATGACATGCCAAATATCCTGAAGCCCTACAAAAAAGTATATTGTGTTGAAAATATCGCAAAAAGTCGTAATATTGTATAATGTAATAGTTGCATGTTGTATTTTGATAAAAATCACTGTATATTCAAAAATATAATGGAGAGAAAAAAAAAATATATATCACAGTATGTTGAAGAAAAATTCAATTCATTACAAATGAATGAATATTTTACCAAGTTATAAAGTTTTCCATACATAAACGTGTATCTTACTGTTCCTTTGTGAGAGAATTACGCACAAATTGCAGTATTTTATCTGTTTTATGTGCACTGTTGGAGGAGCCTGTGACCTATGTTTTTCATTGACATATCTACACTGTAGCTAATGGGCATATGCCATAAAGCCTTGAAACTTGAAACTTAAAATGATCAGAAACTGCATTGTCTCACTGAAAACAGCTCTAAAGAAAACCCAATTCCATACAAAGTACTTAACTTTCTACCAGTTGTAAAGTGTTGCTCACTTCAAAAGTGTATCTAAAAAGTATCTTAGTAACAAAAACAAAAGCACTCCAGTAGATGTAGCCTCATGTAACTTCATATAGGGATTCTTTAATAGTTGTGTGAAGTAATTAAACAATAAGGGGGTATTATTTTATTAATGGGGTGATGTAATTAAACATCAAAAAAGACAGTACCAGGGGGTCATTAAGATCTTTAAATTATTATTAACCTCTTCAGAGAGACTTCGTTGCAGTTAATACTAGATTACCCCTCCTTTCAATAAGAGAGTCCCTTATAGTTAGTAAAGTAATTAAATATTAGTTCACAATCCATACAGTTTAAGAGAGCATCCTTAGTTATTAGCACAACTCATATTTAAAAAAAAAAAACGGTCTGGGGAGGAGGGGAGTATGTGTATGTGTGTGTGTGTGTGTGTGTGTGTGCATGTGTGGGGGTGGGAGGTAATGTCTGGAGCCATTTTGGATCACACCCCGAAGTCTGTGCATTCTTAAGTGTTTTTTGCAGCTAACCTCTGTGCTGAGCAGCCCCTATGGAGCCATCCCAGAACCCTGAGTGAATAGCAGAACATTTAAAAAAATCTTCTCTTTTCTCCATACCTGCAGCTATTTCTAATATTACCCCCACCCCGCCTCATATAACTTCATATAGGGATTCATTTCATTTCATTTCAAACCTTTATTTATTCAGGTTGTATCCCATTGAGATCATTGACCTCTTTTTCAAGGGAGACCTGCTCAAGTAGGTTCCACATGAAACATTAAAAACATAAACAGAACAACAAAAGGACATCATACAGTAGCATTACAGGGATTACAAATTACATACTATCCACATGCACAGGTACCAACAGCTTCCGATTCAGTAGCATCCAACCGAGGATTATTTTATTAATGGGGTGATGTAATTAAACATCAGAAGACAAGAATAGTCAATTATAATGTCTACACATAATGTGTAGCAAGAGATGTCCTGTATGGGTTGATTGCGCGTTGATCTGTTGGTAATGCCTCGGGGTTCCGGTGGGCATGTAAACAAAATGCATAATGCTGTGCTATACTTTGTGGCCTCACCCCATTGCATAGTGACGCTTATTGTTTAGGTGTCTTTTAATAAGCAGGTAGTCATATCATTAGCTAGAACTAGCTAGATCTGATCGATATGGACATAAACGCTAGTAAAGTCTAATCTGACGGGAGAGACCCGGTGCTGCGGACTATTCGACATGCATCTCTGCATGCGGTGAGCGGAACAAAACACACTCTTCAGGTTATAATATCACACGTAGCTATTTTAATTACCTCTCAAACTACCTAAACTATTTATAGATATGTTTAGTTTTACTGTCGGGTCACTCATTATTGGATCCGCAAGCTGCATGATACTGGCGTGTTGTCAGGAGAGGGGGAGAGCGCTCCGTTTATTATTCCCGTTTTATTGTAAATTACTGTACACGTTTGAATAGTTAATTGTCTTCTATAATTAGTTGGTTTAATATCGAATCATATCAATTTGTTTCAAAGCTCAATAAATAACATAGAATACCTTTGACCGGCACTATTCTAATTTTGTCCGGAAGATTTAAACTGTAACGGACATGTTGACCGGACAGGAGGGGGGAGGAGGAGGGGGGTGGGTTGAGAAGGGTGGGGGCTGAGAGGGGTGGGGGCTGATAGGGGGGTGGGGGGGGGGGGGGGGGGGGGGGGGGGCTACGGGGAGGATGTAACACCTGTATGTGAGGGGGAGGGGGGTGGGCTGAGAGGGGTGGGGGGCTACCGGGAGGATGTGACACCTGTACGCGATAACACCTCGAACAAAGGGCCTCATTAGCATATCAAAGGGGGCTCATTAGCATAATTAGGGGGCGGGACTTAGAAGGTGTGACCTGTCACTTTTTTATGCATACTAATGAGACGAGATGAGCATGTGTTATACTACTCATGTGGAAAAAAAAGAAAGTCAGTATATGTGAGTATTTATGTTTACATTCTTTGATTTATGTGTGTGTTTTTTAGTACACAACTTCCAGTGTTCTCTAAGAGTGTCCTGTTGTGATCATGTCGTTTCAGGAGGAAGTCAGCAGACCCTGAAGCGCTGAAGCTCAGATGGACAGAGATCTTCCAAATGCAGCATTCGGTAAGAAATATTCAAAATGAACGTATGCGGCTGTTCTCGAGTGCATACATGGACCTTTTCTTTTCCTGCTGACAGGATAAAATGACAGCCCTTTGAATGGTTTATCAATTCTGATCTTTTGATAATTTCTTTGTGAAACCCATTTGGGATGATTAGCTGTCAGAAGGCTGCTTTGCACTTCTTGTTAAAGGAGAGGTGTCATGCTTTTCCGGTTATTACCCGTCCCCTTGTGTGTTATGAAGGTTTTTATGCATGTAAACGGTGTGCAGAGTCAAAACCCTCAAAGTACACCCTGTAGCGAGTAAAACTCTAGCACAGAAAATACCTCCCCAAAACGCCAATACGTCATTGTCCATTTGATTCTTCCGGGTACGGCTTGACATCATGCCGTACCCGGAACGAAATGGACCAATCCGCGGAGCCGTTATGTTAAGCCAACGCTTATTGGTCCATATTGACCAATCCATGGACTTCCTCACACACACATCTGTGTGCAGGGAGCAGGCAACTCAGCTAATTTCTCCTCCCTGGCTGCAGGCTGATAACAGACAGTTGGTATTGCGGCGAAATTCTCTCTGCAGACCCATTCTCACAGCGTTTATCTACCTTTTTCTTACTCAATATCAAGCCACACTTATTGTTTTTACTTCGGCTGTGAGTTTGTGTGTGCTCAGGATGAGTTTGGCTGTGTTTCGCTATGTATCCTAAACAAGGAAACAACACCTCCACGGAGTTCAGCGCGATTCACAACGTCCCGACCAATCAGAGCACACTGTGCTCAGAGGGAGGGTGGGGGCTGGAGCTTTGGGAGCTACAACGAGCCGTTAAAGGCAGAGAGTGAAATTCAGTGAATACAAGTAGTTTACAGAGATGCTGTATGAGAAACCAATGTGAGTTTGGAAAAATGCACAGTATAAATCTATTCTAGTATACCTCAACAATGGAATTATGATCAGTGGAAATGGCCATGACACCTCTCCTTTAAAACACTGTAACTATAGCGATACAGCAGTTAGAGATAGGTTTACTGACAGCGGGGCAATTTTGGGTTTCAAAAGCAGTCTTATGCAACTTGGCGATGTACAGTATTATCGTACAAGCATTTTGGAAAAATACTTTAGATGCTTTTAAAAGTACTAATACCTAACTGTGGAAATACTCCACTCCTAATCATGCATTCAAAAGCTTACTGAAGTAAAAGTATGTAAACATTATCAGTTAATTGCATTAATTAATCTGGTGGGAGGGAGAGGAGGAAGAATCAGAAACGGGTTTATCACCAGGTAGGTTGACACGTAAAGTAAAAGGTTGTAATAACTTATATCATCAGTGAGTGTTTTACTATTAAATGGTGTTTTTTGGATGTATTTACTGCTGCAGTAATGCTTATGTTAATGTGTATTTTTTTTAGCTGGCACTTTAACCATGGGGGCGTAATTAATTACCACTTTATGAAGGCAATAAACATTTTATTTTTTTCTTTGTGTTGCAGGAGGGTTACTGGCAGTTCACCGCAGAGCTGGGTGAGCTGATTAATTTGGATGTGGACCTCTTCGCCAACGTGTTCCTGAAAAACAAAGGCATCCAGTCTCTGGGTGAGGACTCTCAGAAACTGATGCAGCCTTTAGAGTGGGAATATATTTGTCATTTCAGATCATTTCCACATCTTTCTGTGGCCAAAAGATTGGATTTACACGTGGAGATAGAAGTATCATTCGCCGAATAGTGCCAACATGTTCTTTAAAGTTTAATATAACCTTCCAAGCAATATAATATTAACCAATCAGACGAGAATGTCCTATTTGTATTTATGAGTTTTTAGTTTTTAAATCATTAAGATGAGTTTAAAAATGACCTGTTAATGACTAAGTCTCTTTCTTTGATTCAAGTCAAACGTATATTAAAAGGTTTTTAGTGAAAAGTTGAATATTGAATGTAAAATCAGTATTCAAAGTAAGTAAGTTGCTAGAGCCATTACCAGTGTTAATACTCAAGAGAAGAAGAGAAGAATAACCTCAAAACTGCCACATTTTATACATTTTAGTGTGTGAAAATATACAGTCTAGGGTCAAATTGCAAACAGTTATCATGCCACGTCTCTGCTTTTTAGAGACTTATATCAAAACCCAACTTTTCGCCACAAGTATATTTCATGATAGTTTGGATTTTATTTGTCCAGGGTTTGAGATTAACATCTGCTTCACAATGGAGATGTACGAGTGGGGGCTCCAAGTGGAAAAATACACTTACAAAAATGCGTCTGTGACATCTCTGTCCACAAAAAATAGCCTGTCTTTCAGTTTTCATTGAGGACTCTCGCATAGTTGCACTGCTTTTTCTTTTTTAAGTCTTACAGATATCTCAGCCATGATGATGAGTTTGTTTCCCACGGATGTTAAAAGCATGTACTGTACTTGTCTGTGTGTGTGTGTAGGTGTGAAGGCCCATGCAGACATCCTGAAGCTGGTGGCGACTCTGCTGGTTCTGCAGCTGATGAGAGAGGAGAAGATAGAGGAGGGCAAACTGCTCCGCACCCTGTTCTGCCTGGACGACTCCCCTCTGCCCAGGTCTGTCCAAAACTTAATCGAACAACATGAAGATCCTAAATAAAAACACCTAAACTGATTCCAAGCTTGAAGGCTTACACTGCAACCAAAGTACAAAGGTGTGAAAAGAGGAAATGAAACAGGAAGAGAAACACATCACAACACAACAAAGCATTTATCTCTCAATTCATAACCTTGAGATGCCCATTGACTTTTAAAACACTCAAATATGTTGTTCTCATTTGCAAAAGATCCAATATGTATTGCAATGTTCTTCTCTGGGTGATTTTTTGAGACTAGCTGTCACTATGTCCAGCGTGGCAACCTGTTTTCATATCGACTTTCTTCTTCTTCTTCCAGGCCTGAGCGTTGGGAGGAGGTGAAGAGGGCGGTGGACTGGGTCTGCTGGGCGGACCGGCAGTACCCGTGTGTCTACAGTCGGCTGGAGTTTGGATTCAGCTGGGAGTCCTCCACCCGCCAGCTGCTTGGCTTGCAGAAGACCGTCCCCCAGGTCCTGGTCCACTGAGCAGGATAGTGAGAGGGAGGTTCATACCCCTTTGCCTTTTTATGGGGATTACATAATCTATTGGATGTATTTGTAGCCCTTTTATTCAGTCAGTGTGTTTACATGTTCTCAAATAGGTAGATACAATTGGCTTACTGCAGACCTGATTTATTAAACTTAAACTGCTTTGGGTCTACATATCGCCTTTTCTGCACGTCAGCATCTTTTTTCAAATGTATTCCAATAAGGCGATAGCTTATACTGTTTTACACCGTGGTCTTCAGAGAAAGAGTTGCACCCCTCGTCTTTCTTCTGACCGTTCCACCTTTTTGGTCAAGTTGAAAATATTTAAACTTTCCAGAAAAACGCTGTTGACGTCACTGAAGGAAATGACTGTCTCACTGTCAGACAGTAACCATCATAACAAAGACCAAAGAGCCTGTTTGTTGGAGCAGATCTGCCAGTGAGTGTGTGGCTTTTATCGTACCGTACACATATCATCCTCCTCACTCTAAGGCTGTCAGACTAAAGCTGTGAGGCTCAATCACACAAAATGTGAGAACAAGCATCCTCCTGTTTGTTCTCATAGACACAATGTCAAACAAATACATAGCACAAATCGATAATAAAATCCAAGGGGTGAGGCTAGTCTGTAATACAACAATGGTGATACAGTGTCAAGATATTGCTGTCATAGAAACAACAAAACAACCCTTGGAGCGTTATGTGGACATGCCCTTATTCGGGGAAAGAGGATTTAAAGGCTAGATTACATTTCATGGCCTGATACTTATCATCTTGTTCACATGCATGCAAGTCCACAACAATGCCTTCAGACAGAGATAGCATCATTGTGACCAGTGATAAAAGGGAAGGTCACGATGAGTAGCAGTCTATTTGCATGTTTGTAATCCTCTCATCAAAAATTAGTCAAAACCAAAACTAATTCCGCAGCTACTACTTTCTCTAAATATTTTACTGGTAAATGTAGTCACAGCTGTCTTCCCACAGTTGAACACACAGTCACATGTTATTATAAAATAAGGAAGCAGTGCCTTTGTGCCCAAAAAGGGTCAGTTTCTTGGGAACATCTTGGACTGACCTGCTGAAGGTGTGTGTTGCTTCTCTGAGTAACCTTGTACATGTGAATCTTTTTTTGTCTAGTGTTTCATTTATAACTGCCTTTTAAGCACCTTTGATTATTTTAGTGTAGGATATAGGATTTTCTTTCACAGTATATGCAGTTATATATCATGGTAGCGGTATAAATCAGGGTACAGTATAGTATTGTTCTGTAAATTCAATAAGAAGTGGATTAAAACAACCAGTTTTTGGATTGTTTTCCTCTTTTATTTGGAACTACAATATTAACAAAATCAACCGACTCACGAGAGACAAAGCAAAAGACTTAAAACCTTTAAAATTCTGAATGTGAAACACGTTTTAAGGTTAAACGGTGCAAATAACTTTGACTTTGAAATAAATATCAGTGTGACCTCAGTCAATGCAATATGAAGCACCATAAACATCCCACAAGTTTTAATTTCAATATATACCAAAAGAAACAAGACTTTAACTGCAGGATTTGCTCATGTTTCATTCAAAAAAGTAAAATCAAACTCCCTTTTATTTGAAGTACATTACAGTACTCGAGTAAATGTGTAGCTAAATCAGGAAATGGCAACTTTTTTTATACAAGATAACACTTATTATACAAATATGGTGGGTGTATTACATGTTCTCGGACAAGATAAAGCTCTTGCACTCAACAACTTGCTGTTATCAGATAAAAAGCAGCTTTACCACTTCCCATTTTTTCTTAAAGGTCCCCGATCATGCAAAATGCACCTTTGTCTTTTATACACACATATGTGTCCCCGGTGTGTAAGGAGACACACAAAGTGTCTGAAAATACAACCCTCTCTCTTTTTCTCCGTACTCAAATCTCTAAAAACGGGGGTACAACGGAGCTGATCCAGATGTGCTGCGGTCATGACGACATTACTAAAATCAGGGCTGGCTTTACACCCACGGCACTATCAGAAACGTCGCTATCAGAAACAATGCCCAACTATTTTGGAAGTAATATGGTCAGTGTTTACATTAGCAAGCATCGCTAACACTCAGAGCTAACGCTGTACTGGAGAGAATATGTGTGAAGAAGCAGGATATAAAAAGGTACTCACCACTATATGTGTTTATGTAATCATGAACAAAAATAAAGTCTTTCAAAAGGTTCCCCAGTTGTCTTCATTTGTTTTCTTGTGTTTATCAGCATTCATTTAAGATCCCTGCTTTCACAACAATGTCAGCTAATACTCTTTTAAACTTGTCAAAGAGAGGTTTACGGGTGTGTTTTAATTTAATTATATTTTAATTTAATTATGGTCATATCAATAAAGCTTATTTGAATTTGTCTTGACTCAGCGCTAGAAAAATATAGCATTTCCTTATATTTGTATTGTTTTTTTTAGATAGATAATTATCTGACACAGCAATGAAACTACTCTTAACACTTGAGAGTTGTGACTTCCTCAAAGACACATTTTTTAGAAATTGAAACCAACCAACACACTTTCCTCAGTCACATACTTCAATGCTTGACATTCCCATGAGCGATGGACGAAATCTATGTCAACCTTGACGATGTCAAACCCCTAAGCTCAAGATCATCAACAATACAAGAAGGTAAGGGTCAGTCAGACAGAGTGAGCTGTGGATTTTGGATTTATTAAACTCCCTGGTCTTCTCTGTGTCCCAGGAGATTTCTCCCAGCGTCTGTTCTCGGTCTGGGGCTGCTGGTTGTTTTCCTGCTGGCTGGACTCATCGGCCTCGCTGTCCACCGTGAGTCTTATTTTTAATATATATATTATATTCGTTTCATAAGTCATTTTGAACGTGTGATTTTAAGGAGCAATATTCTGCTCTGAAAGATGCACATTTGATCAAAACATCTATTGGTTTTCTATTTTTCTCCTTGGGCGAAATTAGATAACATTGACTTTGGTTTGTGTCAGTATGATTGCATCAGGTAATTTAAGAAACATCTATTTTTATTCCAGACCATAACTCAGTAGGTGGTGCAGCTGCAGATCTCTCTGCTGTCAAAGCAAACCTGACTGAGCGTCTCCAGGCCAGAGATCAGCTGCTCTACTCAGTGACTGAAGAGAGAGACGGACTGAAGGCCAACCTCACTGAAAAGACCAGAGAGGTGGACAGGCTTCAGAGTTTGTCCAAACAGAGTGAGTGCTTTTCTGTGACGGTTTTGCACAGGGCTGGGCTATATGGATTATATCAATTGTCATGATATTTTTGAGCAAATACCTCAATATTGCATCGATATTCTAAGGTTGGCAATTGCTGCTTTGATAAAATAACATGAGCGTACCAGAGAATGGCATTGGAAATGTTATAATGTGATTGAACAAAGATATAATGTAAATTTAAAAAGGTCGAAGACAAAAGTGGTGTTTTTTTGGTGTCGAACCCTGGGCCCTTAAACTTAAAACCAATGCTTAGACCTCTAAGCTGCCCAGGCATTTTTTTAAAGTCATGTTATGACCGGCTTGTAGGCCACAACAAAGGAGAGGGAATTCAGCGAGAACAAACTCACATTTATTAAAGTAAATAAAAAAGTCACTGCAGTGGAGTTCGATGAACAATATATTAACTTAAAATGAGCCAGGCTGGGCGAGGGGAAGGGGATCCAGGAGAGAGTCGGAGAGTGGACAGGCAGCCGGGCTTAAGTGCGTTCTGAGGCACTGGCCTACCTATAATGAACACATGAACAAATGTCCTTTCCTGGGTGGGTATCACGGGCACAGCTCTACAATGATGTCTTCATACTAGAATCATAAAAATGTGAAAAGACAACATGCCAACTTACTATATGAGGAAATCCAAAGTCTAACAACTTATCTATTCTTGTTTGACAATATCAATATATTGCCAAACCCTTCTGCATAAAAGTGTAGAACACCAGACTTATTTTAATCTCAGTGCTTTTTTTTTCACATACATTTTTGATGTGTACAGCCCTTTAAAAAAATCGTTGTAACATCGTTTTAAAAGCTAAAAAGCTTCAGTCCCATCACTTCACATAATTATAAGATTGTGAATAACTAAATATCTCTTTATAAGGATGTTTTAAAAATGTTGACACCTTGTATTCTGCACATTTTTAACTGCTCTCTTTTTACAGGTTCTGTCCCTGAAACTGCGCTGGTTCAGCCATTTCTTAAAAAGCCCAACATTTTTAGACATATTTCCAAGCTCCCATTTTTAGATAAAGTTTTAGAAAAAACTGTAGCAGAATAATTGTTAGCTTTTATCAATGACAACAATATTTTAGAGAAATTCTAATCTGGCTTTAGAAAAATCATAGTACTGAAACGGCTCTTCTTCAAGTTTGTAATGACTTGTGTGATTTTATTTTTAAGCTTATTATATTTATTTTCTATGTGTTTTTATGTTTACATGCTGTTGCTTAATTATCTTGCTCACCGTGTATTTTTATGTTATAGCACTTTGTAACTACATTTTGAAAGGTGCTATATAAATAAAGTGTATTATCATTATTATTATTATTTATATGGTGATCTAGAAGATACATTTCCCAGGAATGTTTTTTATATCATCTTCCTTTTTTGATGTCATGTCGGTCAAAATTACCGCCTTTATTGCAGTATTTTTTTATTTTATTTATTAAGCAATTGGACTTATAATACCGTGGAAGGAATATAACAGACTCTTAAAATGATGCAGAGTGAGAGAAGTTTTACCCTTTGTCCCATGCAATGATACCGATCTATCAGAATAGATCTTGGTTATCATCAACAATGCTTATTGAATATGTCTTTTTTAAAATCACACAAGGGACAAGAATGCTCTCAAGAGTTCAATATTTCAGCAAGGAGTCAACTAAATCTTACAACTCAAAAGAAGGTAATAAGGCATGTCTTGTATTTTTTTGCAGAGAAAACTTGTCCTGCAGGATGGAGGATGGTCGGTTGTGTCTGTTATCTCCTCTCTACGGAGAAAGCTTCTTGGGAACAAAGCAGACAAAACTGCAGAGCCAGAGGAACAGATCTGGTGATCGTAGACAACACACTCTCACTCCCTAAGCGTCCAGGAGCGACGCTTGGTCAGGGTCCCGTGGCGTCCAGTTGTGACGCGCCGAGGCTCCTTCAGCTTCATAAACGGACGCAAAGAGCTTTCAACTGATTGCAATGTATTCCCATCGGCGGCAGTATTTGACGCTTAGGGAAGCACGGCATTCGTTTGTGTCGGAGGCTGTTAAAGGCAATGTGAGCGTCCATTCCCATTGGATAATGGAGAATTGTACACCCGGAAGTAAGTATTCCCCTTACTGTCGATTGATTTGAAAGTGATATCTCCACTACTCATCAACTCAAAAACACCATATTACTGTATCCTTGTTAATTAAACGACATTGATAGGTTTTAGTGTGTGTACAATGCTTTTTCCCCTTCAATTCTGAGAAACAAGTCGTTTTCTATGAGTTTTGGATGGCCGAAGACATGACATTACCCACAATCCTCTGTAGCAACCATAGACTGTATAAAACAATTAAATAATACATTATTCCGAGTGTGCTTGCTTTTCTCTTTGAAAGTCATCACATAACGGCATTGTAATACACGTTTCGGCTGCATTAAATATGACATATCTGCCGTAGTTAACTCTATGTATAGAGCCCTGATGACAAGACTTCGAGACAAACAGGAACTGCAGCCAAAACTGAAAACTTGACGTGGATCTTAAATATATAAGCAATTAAACAACATCTTACATTTCTTTTCACACAATACGTCTCCTTGCAGTACTGTATCAACACTAATTCGGCTGACTTTTATATTTGATCCAATTGGTAGATAGGCTGTATTTACGCCATAACGGTGCACAGCTGATAGAAAGGGACACCTAGTGGTTAAAGCACGTTATTGCATTTTATAATTTTATTATTAGATATTAATAGGAGGATGTGCAAAACAGACAAACTAATAAGGCTTTATTTAAACATTAAAGAATACTTTAGGTTAAGGTCTTCTTTTGAATAAGAAAAAAGCTTTGGGGGTATAGAAGATGAATATGGAGGGATGAAATCCTCTTTGATGGTCACACATGCAGAGCACACAGCACACACAGTGAAATTTGTATCTACAGATAAATATTAAGCCTGACAAAGTACTTAACATCTAATATATTGCTTTCCTGCAATGTTAACTATGTTTAAGCACTTATTTTAACTTAACATTATACATATGTATTATACTCTTATAAGATGTATGTAGATAGTATAAGAAATGTGCAGAATATGACAATGTAATGGTGGAGGTACACACATATTGATAGATGTCTTGTAATGCACTATTGAGGAACCTGCGACCCAAGTTTTTCATTCATTGCATAACTACACCGTAGTTGTGTATAATATGATATGCCAATAAACCTTAGAAAATCTTGAAATCTTGAAAGGGATGTGCAAAATAGTCATTATATACAGTCTTTAATTAACTATTAGTAGAGAATAACGACGAGTAAAGAATATACTTTATAGGGATCCTATTAATATCTAATAATAAAATTATAAAATGCAATAACGTGCTTTAACCAGTAGGTGTCCCTTTCTATCAGCTGTGCACCGTTATGGCGTAAATACAGCCTATCTACCAATTGGATCAAATATAAAAGTCAGCCGAATTAGTGTTGATACTGCAAGGAGACGTATTGTGTGAAAAGAAATGTAAGATGTTGTTTAATTGCTTATATATTTAAGATCCACGTCAAGTTTTCAGCTTTGGCGGCAGTTCCTGTTTGTCTAGAAGTCTTGTCATCAGGGCTCTATACAGTACATAGAGTTAACTACGGCAGATATGTCATATTTAATGCAGCCGAAACGTGTATTACAATGCCGTTATGTGATGACTTTCAAAGAGAAAAGCAAGCACACTCGGAATAATGTATTATTTAATTGTTTTATACAGTCTATGGTTGCTACAGAGGATTGTGGGTAATGTCATGTCTTCGGCCATCCAAAACTCGTAGAAAACGACTTGTTTCTCAGAATTGAAAGGGAAAAAGCATTGGACACGCACTAAAACCTATCAATGTCGTTTAATTAACAAGGATACAGTAATCTGGTGTTTTTGAGTTGATGAGTAGTGGAGATATCACTGTCAAATCAATCGACAGTAAGGGGAATACTTACTTCCGGGTGTACAGTTCTCCGTTATCCAATGGGAATGGACGCTCACATTGCCTTTAACAGCCTCCGACACAAACGAATGCCGTGCTTCCCTAAGCGTCAAATACCGACGCCGATGGGAATACATTGCAATCAGTTGAAAGCTCTTTGCGTCCGTTTATGAAGCTGAAGGAGTCTCCGCGCGTCACAACTGGACGCCACGGGACCCTGACCAAGCGTCGCTCCTGGACGCTTAGGGAGTGAGAGTGTGTTGTCGTAGACCAGGGGTACTCAAACTTTTTTATTAAAGGTCCAGTTGTGAACTTTATACAAGGTCACTGGTCCGGATCAATGCCAGTAAAGTGTCCGTCCCCCCCCCCCCCCCGAGCGGAGAAACGAAACTGAAATTAAGAAGCAGTTACTTGGCGCTCTATGCATGGAGTTTCCCGACATGTCGTTGCAGTAAATTAAAGGGTGTTTCATGTTGTCGTTGCTGTGGACCTTCTTAATCTACCTTCTTTGGAAGCCCCCTTCTGGTCCAAGCACTTGCCTGCCTTGCCTGCCTTGCCTGTCGGTAAACGGCGCCCCTGTATACACACACACATTCAATACATACATACAGTATGTCAAGGTAAACTTGCGGTTAACTTGCGGTCTGCTATGCATGTCATGCTCGCGCACACAAGTAAATATATATGCACGTTCATTCTCACAACGCGTCAGACACAAGACGCGCGTACATGATGATGTACATTACAGTGGCGAGCCGTGAGCTTTATACCTAGGCCCTCTGACCCCCACCAATTCCCTCGAAAAAAAGAAAAAAAAAAGTTATTACGTCACAGCGTATACTTCAGCGGAATATCAAAACAACGGCCCAGGGTGCAAAACGCATCAATGACAGCGACCCTCTACCACACAAAACAACACCTGGGAACCCCATTTGTGTTCTTTGACATTGAAAAGGATATTGCATTGTGTTTGTTACTTTCGTTGCAGTTGTATGTCTTAAGTGTAATTTGGCATGCTTTTATT